CAGAATCGCCTCTTATCATGAGATACCATGAGACGGAAACTGGGATAGAGTGTGTGTGTGTGTGTGTATGTGTGTATGTGAGAGAGAGAGAGAGAGAGAGAAAGAGAGAAAGACATCTCGTCCTCTCTCAAGACTTACCTTCATCGACAGACTCATCCGGCGTGGACGAACAGGTCTGATTACCGTCCGTATGGATAAGCTGCGTACGCCGTGCGTCACGTAGCCGCGTAAAGAAATCCACAGCGTAGTCGATGATGTCGCCGGGCTGCTCCAGCAGGTAGCTGATTGTGAACTCCAGCAGGACATCGCGCAGGTCGTCCGGCACCGTGATCTTGCCGGCGTTACGTTGGCAGCTCATCTTCCTATTCCCCCGAAGACGATCGTCGATTTAGCTACCACGAGGAAACGTCCTTTCTTTACGTCTCTCTTTCCTTCGTGCGTTTTATCCCGCTTCCGAATTTTGGGGCTCGACGGAAGCCTTCGAGTTTCTGCACTTCACGCAGCACAGCCGCGAATTGTCACGCGCTACAGCTACACGTCACGGATTCTCGCGGAGTTTCTGCTCGCGCGGGACGAAGCAAGCAGCGATCGGGTACCGGGGAAGCTAGAGCCGGAGTTAGAGCAGGAACCTAGAACCGGAGCTGTAACTGGGCTTTAAAGCCGGGGTCGGGGACAGGAGAGGAACGAGGAATGCTCGACGCGTCGTACCGCCGCCCACCTTCGACGCGCTGCTGCTTCGCTGCCGCCACCTCCACCACCACTACCGCCGCCACCGCCGCCGCCGCCGATGGCCCGCTCTCCCGTCGCCGTCGCACCGCGCCGCCGGCCGTTCGTGCACCGGCAAATCGTCGCCGCTGCCACCACCGTTGGCAAGCCCCGCTCGCTTCCCGGTGCACCGAGCTGACTATCGACGACGGGGGGGGGGGGCTAGCTGCCTACCGTGACGACGCTGCGCACAGTCGCGCCGAACATACGACGAGAACCTCGACTGGTCCTCAGAGGACACGAAGAATAAACCGATCGCGGTCGCTAAGATGGCGACTGATAGCACCCGCACCTCACCGCGCCGTGGATCGCATGACGGGATGTGCGAGTACTCACGCCAAGTTCAGATCGAGTCGGATTCGATTATTCTCGTCGAGTTCGATTCGAGATGAAACGAACGAACGCGCGCTTTATCTCGTGTGAAGTCAAGCGCATGCTATCTCTTTATTGTAATTGTTAGAAATCAAAACTATGAGCAATAATCATAGTCGATTCTCATATTCAAGACCGTCTTAAGATCAGAACCAATCAGAGGGCCGTATCAGCATCTTAAGGCATTACTTAAGACGATCTTAAAATAAGAACGGATTATGAATACCGACCTATATTTCTGTTAATTAATGTCACAATCTGTCATTTATTCTTTAGTCTTATATTTAATATTTGATGAGTATCGTACGATTGTAGATATTAAAAAACTATGATTAAACAATAAATTTGTATAATGTATTTTAATTTATAAGTTTAATGATATACTGTGTAATGAAATACATGGAAGTTTCTGATAAAGTAGAATAGAATGTCTGGTTGCATATAGTACAAGAAAAGAGAATGGAAAGTTGTTATGAAGCAAATGTTTATTTTTCAGCCACTTGACCGCGTGAAAAAAAAGATTACGACTGATAGAACATCCGTCGAAATGCGTGTTACATCAATCTTATTTCTTATAACCGCAGCTGCGTCTACGGCCTCTCGCCCGTTCGAACTTTCGACCCTTAGACCTCACGTAAGGTTTCGTATGAGAATGTGGTACACCAGGAGCCAGGCCGAAGTGTTTAACGCTCTCGCGAGCGTTACGCGGTCCCTGCATCAAGACTGTACGTTTTCCAGTCGGGGCGCGTAATGCCAGCTGATCGAACGTGATGATCTCGCCTCCATTTTTCAAGATGCGTGCCCGAGCCTTCTCAGTGACACGTAAAGCGCATACCTGCAAAAATCAATTGCCATGTAATATAAATCTAACGATTTTACACCAGTATTCATAGTCGATTCTTATTTCAGGACAACCCTAAGTAATGTCTTAGGCTAAGATTACATTCATGTGTTTTTTTGTTGTACAAGCTTTTCAAAGTTGTTGATTAGTTACAGAACAAAGAAGTTCTTGGATCTCTCTATCCTGCAGCCAATTAACACGCTTGAAAAATTTATTGTACGACAAATGTGATATCAACCTTAAAGTGCTAATACTGTTCTGTGGCCGATATTCATAGTGGGTTCTTATATTTCAGATCATTTTAAATAGTTTTAAAATGTCATAAACCAATTATAAAGCCGTATCAAACTAATATTATATTTATCGTACAACAAATTTTTTAAGCTGTTTATTGGCTAGGATAGAGAGATTCGAGAATTTCTCTATCCTGTAGTCAATTAAAGTACTAGGCATAAAGATGTTCTTAACTAATTCGTGGGATGTAAGTCGTAGGTCACCGCATGTTTTAGAGTAATTATGTATACCATATTGACAACAATCGCCTACAATCATGTCAAAACATTGTGTTGACCTACAATTATGACTCATGTTCCATTTTTATGTTCAGGTGCTAACACACTTGAAAGATTTATCTTATGACATCTAAAATATCAGCTTAATATTACTTCCAATAAAAACAACCTTAAATTAAAAACAGACTACAAAATATTGGCTTTAGATATCAGTATGCTTGTAGTCATTTACCGTCAACTTGGGGACTTCAAAAATCCTAGCATCATCAGTGACTGTACCGACGATGACGGCAACACAATTTTCCCTGCCAGGTTTCTTCATGAACCTCACAATTCGCGCCAGTGAAATTGGTGGTCGATGAATTTTACTCATAAACAATCGTTTCAATATAATTTTGTTGAACTTTGAATTTGTTCGTCTCGCCAAGAACCGATACAGCTAGAACAAAGCATTTGTTAATTATCTGTGATTCTAATAAACTTTAGAGGCTTTCTACAATAAGCATAATACAAAGCCATTAGTAATAAATTCAAAGTCAAAAGCTAGAAATTCACCAATCACAATTAAATGTGAAAAGAATCGATGGTGACTGGTTTCTAGCTTCTGACTTTGAATTTATTAGTAACGGTTTATTGTAAAAAGCTTCTTTTAGAAACTTCACAGAAATACATTTTTTTAAAACTTATATTAATTGCATAAAAAATGTATAAAACAAGTATACAGCAAACTTCTATAAAATTTTGTTTCCAAATAAAGTTTCGCAATTAAAAGATTCTAAATTATAATTACAAAATTGATCAATGTATCAACTATAATAATCGCTCTTTTATGTTGCAAATAAGCGAGATAGGATAGTTGACAAATATTTCTCTAGCGAACTTTCAAATTGAATCAGGTCTACAAAAGATCTGACACAGAGTGCAGTTCGCAATCATGAAAACTGATTGATAAATCTCCAGTACACAATCATAATGACGACTTCAATCATTTGTACTATACTGAATTACATTAAAGTTTGCTTTATATAAAGTATCTAAAAATATAAGCACAATATAACTGAATTTAACAAATCTTAAATAATACATTTATTCTGCTAAATAATGTGACATCATTATTTGGTTTAAAATATTTATGTTTTTACATTCAGCTTTGCTAATTTTATATAGCAGCTTTAGTATCTAATCTTGTGCAATAAAAGTGATTGAATTCGTTATCTCTTTCAATTTATGGAACTGACGAGTATAAATTAAGATATACGATGGTAGGAAACATCTTGTCACATGTAATCATGCTTGAAAACTAACCTCAATAAGAAATCGTCACGAAAGACAATCGTGCAATTTTTCTTACAAAATTCCAATAAAACGGAATAATGTTTCTGAGTAAAAGTTTAAGGTATATACTTCGCTTCACAAGAACCTACTCAATAAATAATATGAAAGGCAAGGCATTTACCTTGACGAGGAGTCGTAAATATACATCTTGCGACTTGGGTTCCGTTCGTCGCACCTTCCGATCATGCTTATGATTAATATCGATACCCTGCGAAAAGAAATACTCGTCATTAATCGAATCTAAAAATTTAATATCCTGTAGTCACATTCATTTATCGCGATTAATAAATAGCAGTATAAAATTGCCCGATTTTTTAATCAAGTCGGACACCATCACACCGTCTTACCATTTTGATAAACCGGAAAAGAGAAACTACGCGAATGAGTAGTGCGATCGAAGCAGCGGAAACGACAGAGGGCGCACATTGGCAGTGACACAGTCGATAACAACGAGGGTATTGTTACCGATGTAATTCCGTCGATACGTCGTAACGTAGATGTCGCCTTCAACAGGTCGATTTGAATTGTTTGCTTGGTTGTTATATATATATATATATATATGTACCCGCTAAATTGTGGCGGGTGAACAGCTGATCGCGTCGTTGTCGGTCGTTGTCACGATCGTTAGTATTTGAACCTACGAATTAAAATTTTTAGTATTTATTCGAAGACTCAGCGAGTATGGCGACTTTATTAGATCTGTGCGAGCAGTACTTCGGCGCCCGGAATTTTTACGACGTATTAAAAATATCAAAGACTGCAAATGACAAGCAAGGTGACTAAGGCGTTCTAACCTCTCCGCAAATTTCAATTCTTGAATTTTTTTTTTATAATAATAACATTCGTTATATTTGTGTTACCAGTGAAAAAGGCTTACCATAAGCTATCGTTGCTTGTACATCCGGATAGGGTCGAGGAAAATATTAAGGCGGAAGCGACGGAGAAGTTTAAGGTTCTCGGTAGAATACATTCCATTCTCAGTGATAGCGAAAAACGCAAGATTTACGATGAATCTGGCGAATATGATGAAGAAAGCGAAGAGGTCGTAATGCGCAATTGGGCAGATTATTGGCGGTCCTTATTTAAAGAAATTACTGTTGAAGATATCAATAATTATGAGAAAAATTACAAGGGATCAGAGACAGAAATTAAGGATCTCAAAAGAGCATACATAGACAGTAAGATTTTTGTACTATAGTACAGATAGAAACTTAGAAACACATCAATTTTTGTCTTATTTATTAATCATTAAAAAAATAATAATTTTTTTTTAATATAAATAAGAATTAATGTTCTCGTAAAGAAAAAAATTTAGTTCAATTTTTAGAGAGAAGAAGAATCTATTTTAAAAATCTTATAATTTTTTTCTTGAGTAAAATTTATTATAATTTATTGTATTTCTTGCCTCAAATATGAAACTTTTAGAATCATTATATATAGTAGCTTCTCATCCTTAGAAAGGTTAAAATTAATCAAGATTAGACATAGAATAAACATTCTTTATATTACAATATCAATATTGTAATATTAATTAATTAACATACAGTTTGTTTATATTTATTTATATTTTTTCTAGGTAAAGGAGATATGGATTATATTCTAGAAGCTGTTCCATTTACAAACTGTGATGAAGAACCCAGACTTCATGCCATAATTCAAGATCTAATAGAGAGAGGTGAAGTTCCAGAATATACAACTTTTACTAATGAAAATAAAAAGAAGCAGCAGCGTAGGAGAAGAAAGGTAAGATATTTAGAAATATAATGTTTCTGATTTTACCATAAAAAATATGTTAAGAAGGCTACACAAAAATTTGACAATAGAACACAAAAGACTATATAGCTAGAATTAACAAGGAAACTCATAGAAGTGTCTTATTCTGATTTTAATAAACTATGAATGCATTTTCTGGACAAAAATAAGTTAAAAAATAAATTAAAAAATATATTTTTTTTATAAGGACCTAATTATACTTTCAGAGAATGCAACACGTCTTTGAAGAAAATCGGTTATTTCAAAATAAAATATCATAGAAACTATAAGATAGAAAAAAATATTTGAAATAAAAAATTATTATAAAGTTTCTTAACTTTTCAAATTATGCAACTTTTATTCAGAACATTTTTTTCTATCTCTTACAGTTCTCTTAACATCCGCTTCGACAGAAAAAAATTGATTTTTCTCAAAGTGATGTTGTATCTCTTAAATATGTATCCCTTAGTTTTGTTCTAGAAAATAACATATTCAAAACTCATCAAAATTGGAGGAAAGGGGGC